TTTACTAACAATTTGAGTTCACTTTCTAATTTACAAGTACCCCGACGAGTAGTCTGCGATTCGCCTGAGGTCGTAGAAATGCATTCATTCAGCGATGCATCACAGCGAGCCTACGGTGCGTGTGTTTACATTCGCTCTATAGATGAGAATGATGACGTAACCGTCAGGCTTTTGTGTGCGAAATCAAAGGTCGCTAGCCTAAAACCCGTTACGATTCCTCGCCTGGAACTATGCGCTGCATTACTCGCCGCCCGATTATGTAACTCTGTTATCGATGCAATTAGATACCAGCCATCACGTATTGTACACTGGTGCGACAGCAGCGTAGTTTTAGCATGGCTCAAAACAAACACAAATAAATTAAAAACTTTTGTAGCTAATCGCATTGGAGAAATCAATGAAACAACTAAGTCATCCGCCTGGAAATATGTTCCCTCAGCTTTAAATCCAGCTGACCTAATTTCTCGTGGTGTCACTGCCAGTCAGCTTCAAGACCTGGAATTATGGTGGTCAGGTCCAAGTTTTTTATCCCAGGATGAATCTTGTTGGCCCGAACTTCCTTCTCACTCTGAAAATGAAAACTTACCAGAAATTAAAAGCTTACGAACTAAAAATACACTAAATACTAAAAACTTACAAACTAAAACTACGCAATATTCAAAACATTTACACAAACCAAACTTACAAATTCCTACTTACTTAACTACTAACAAATACATACATAAATGTTCAATTCCATCTCACACTAAAAATGAAATGCCTGAAACAATGGCGTACAATATGTCACTAGTAAACAACGAATCCATTATCAATTTTGAGAATTATTCAAAATTAACTAAATTACAAAGAACTTTTGCTTACGTTCAACGCTTTGTTTTTAATTTAAAGAACCCTAAAACTAAACAGTTAGGAATTCTAACTACCGACGAATTAAATAAATCTTTCTCTTACCTGTGTTCCATAGCACAACAGCAATCATTTCCTATTGAGTATAATTTACTGTCCAAGAAATTAGAATTGAAAACTAAATCCAAAATCATATCACTTTCACCTTTCTTTGAAAATAATCTAATTAGAGTAGGTGGCCGTATTAGTAACTCTCAATACTGCTATAACAAAAAACATCCAATTGTGTTGGACTCATCGCACCACTTAACACGGCTTATATTTGAACGTGAGCATATACGCACTTTGCATGCTGGCCCCCAATCATTGCTGGCTACTATTAGAGAGCTTGTTTGGCCTATCAATGGAAGGCGCGTCGCACGGCGCACTGTAAATAACTGCGTACGCTGCCGTCGCGTTCAACCTAAAGCGCTATGCCCAAAAATGGGCAATCTACCACCCCAGCGACTAATTCCAGACTTTCCTTTTACGTCGGTGGGCTTAGACTTTGCAGGCCCCTTTCAAATTATAAATAGAAAAGGACGTGGTGCCAAATTAGTAAAGTGTTACTTATGCCTATTTGTCTGTATGAAATATAAATGCATTCACTTAGAAGCAGTCAGTGATTTATCAAAGGACGCCTTTATCATGACCTTTAGACGATTTGTTTCCCGTAGAGGAAAGCCAGTCGAAGTGTTTTGTGACAATGGGCGTAATTTTGTTGCAGGTGATAAGGAATTGTCTAATTTTTTAAAACAAAGTAACGTTTCTTTATCTGAATTTGCGGCCCAAGAAGGCGTAAGGTTCAATTTTATTCCTGCGTACGCTCCTCACTTCGGCGGAATCTGGGAATCCGGTGTAAAATCGGCCAAATTCCATTTAAAACGAGTCATGGGCAATTCTCATTTAACCTTTGAAGAATTGTCTACATTATTTGCGCAAGTGGAGGCAGTTTTGAATAGTCGTCCCTTGTGTCCCCTATCCAACTCTCCTAACGACTTCCTCTATCTCTCACCAGGGCACTTCCTCGTGGGGCGACCTCTAACTGCCCTACCCACTCCTACCTTGGAGGAACGTGCTGCCAATTCTCTAGCACGCTACGCACGGCTCGAGAAAATTCACCAACATTTTTGGAACCGGTGGCAAAAGGAGTATATAGCCGAACTGCAACAAAGAAGAAAGTGGAAGACAGAGACGGACAATCAAAGATTAAAGATTGGCGACTTGGTGCTCCTTCAAGAAGACCATGTTCCACCACTCTGTTGGCGTCTCGGTCGAGTCCAGAGACTATTTCCGGGCTCCGATGGAATTTCACGAGTTGCAGAAGTAAACACAACGAGAGGAAGTGTACGACGTCCATTGGTTCGCCTGTGTCCGCTGCACCCTACTGTAAGTCAGTGCTGAAAGAGGGATCTTTCAGCGAAGGGGGAAGATGTTGCGGCCCCATCAACTCTGCTCGTGGAATCCACACTCCATCTGTCTGGTCACAGGAACCGGCCCTCCGTGGAGCTAGAGAAGGGCGGCGGCGCCTGTAGTTTTAATTACTTTAAATTGTGTTTTGGTATAGTTAGATAGTTTGCTTTAAGAATATTAACAGGTACTTTTTGTATGTGATTTGTGACGTGTGCCGCCGCTCCATTCGTATTTAACCTTTCTAACAGTAAAGTTGTTAAAAATCAGCTTTGGTCTTTTATTAGATATATTAGGCCCATTATGTTCCTGAAACAATTACAATACAATTCAATCCAAAGTATAGAAATTAAAGTGATTATAATGAAAATTAAAAAAAAATAAGTTTCGTTTTGGGTGCTTTCTGAATTTATACCACATACGTTTTCTTCTTTGTATTATAATTTTATGTGGATAACGAAATTATTTTAGTTCTTGGACAAATGAAAATAATCCAATAAAACAAAATGAGTGTTACCGTTGTCAATTTAACGTCAACAATAATAAGAATAAAATGTACCAACGGATTTAAATCACAGAAATAAATTCGACGACAAATCGCGTAGTTCAACGTGTCATTATGTTTTTTTTTCATTGAAAGAAAAAGTTAGGTGCACCACAGTCCATCGTCAAGTTCGAATTTCAAAAACCTATTCCACGCTACTTTTTAAACGCTTTACGCGCAGATTTGTAATGAGAAAAATTATATGTATTATATCACAATATAATGGAACACAATGTAAACTGTCACTCACATCGAAAAGGACAATATTTACAAATTCCCCAAGGGTTTTTGTAAACTAAATGATAGAAAACAAAGAAAAAGTACCTTGTAAATTATGTATATACGCATATGTGACCTGACTACTTCCACAGCGATTGATATTTTGCTACGTCAAGAGTTATTAACATAAATAGAATATAGTTCTAGACTTAGAATAATAACGCATAGAAACCTAGCCCGCACACGCTAAGTGAGGCAAGTTAGAGGGTTCCAAACGCGTCTCAGGAGCGCGCGGGCTGTTAGTGCTCAAGGTCATATTGCACCGCGAACAGCTCCAAAATTTTTTGCTAAAAATGACGAAATGTGCGGTAAATTGGTGTAAAAATACAACAGACAAACAAAATAGACACTAACATCGCATTCCACAAGTAAGTTATGCGTTTCAACTCATATTTTTATGTAAATATTCACTAAAACAGAAAAATAATTTCGCGGCAACAAGATACGAAAGTGTTGCAAAGTAACGAATTTTTTTTCTCCCCATTTTGCTATTCTGTATCAAAATAATTATATTACGTAAATTTTAGTGGTGCCTGTAATTTCGATTTATTTGCGCATTTTGAACTAATATTTACTCGAATAAACATTAAATGTTTTCGTTAACTCCTGTAAGTGATTGGGACACTTAATTATTTTATAATACTTTTAACGGCTCTGCGTTCATGCTTTATTGAATAATTATTTATATTAATTTTATTTGAATTGGAGCACATATTGCAACAAATTTACAGTATATATTTGTTTCTACTATAGTGTTGGCACCACCAGTACAACTTTGATAGCTTATTATATGTCTTTCTTTTCGTAACTCAAGCGAAATATTTTATATTAAAATATTTTATTTTCTTAAAAGGGGAGCATTCTTAAGCGATTTTTTAATCTATTTTAACAGTTATTTTCTTTAATGTTTGCTTATGGCATTTTCGGTTTTAGGTTTCGAATACGGCACTTATTTCTAAATCCAAGATGGCGGGCGCGATTTTTCGAATAATGGCAAGTTGGGTATCGTTTTCGAGATGTTTGGGAATGTTCAATACAAATATGGGACTCATTTCTAAATCCAAGATGGCAAACACGACAGTTCAAACAAAAGCAATATTCGTAATGAGCACCCCCAAATACCTCGAAAACGATACCCAACTTGCCATTATTTGAAAAATCGTGCCCGCCATCTTGGATTTACAAATAGTGCCATATTCACATTGAGCATCCCCAAATACCTCGAAAATGATACCCACATAGCATTTTTTTGAAAAAATCGTGCCCGCCATCTTGGATTTACAAATGAGTGCCATATTCGTAATGAGCACCCCCAAGTACCTCGAAAATGATACCCATATTGCATTTATTTCAAAACTCGTGTCCGCCATCTTGGATTTAGAAATGAGTGCCATATTCGT